CTAAGGGTGGAGAAGAAATTGCCAGAGCCCAGGCCTTGCCTTGCAGCTGGAAGGCTTTGTCCCAATCTACGGCATCTTTGTTTTCCAGGAGCCTCCTACAGGCATCTTCCTCCCGGTAGAAAGCAGCATGGAGGTTGGCATAATAATCCCTGTTGTCCTTCACCACCTGCAGGAAGTGGCACAGAGACACTCAGGGCACGGGGGATAGAGCAGATGGCAGAGATCATGTAGAGGAGTTGGTGAGGTCAGGCTAACTTGAAAGAGGGATATAAAAAAAACAAGGAAAAGGAAAAGTGCTACAGCACCTCCTAAATCAGTGGGTCTCAACCTTTTTAATGCCGCGACCCCAACTGGTCGTAAGTCGAGGACTAAACCGGTCGTAAGTCGAGGACTACCTAACTGGTCGTAAGTCGAGGACTTTCCCTGCCCGGGAGCGCCGCGCATGCGTGGTTCCGCCCCCTGTGCCGGCCGAGGCATAGCTGGCAAGCAGCAGAGATGGAGCAGGCTGACCACCAGCTGGCCCAGCCCAAGGGAGGTAAGGCACCCGCCGGAAAAGGGGGGAAAAATGGCGGACAAAAAAAATGGCAGACAAAAAAAATGGCGGACAGCCTTGCTTGGCGACCCCCGTGAAATGGTCGATCAACCCCAAATGGGGTCCTGACCCACAGGTTGAGAACCACTGTCCTAAATGGTTTTTGTGCCCTAAATACCTATGTTTCTTTTCTTTTTCCCCCTCCAATTTTTTGATAGGATGCTGTGGGAAAAACCCGTTGTGTTGTAATTTCTTACCTCTTTCCGTGGTCGGGTAAGAACAACTTTAAATTCTGGCCAAGAGTCCACCACGACTTCGTGCTGAGCTGGGTTTCCACGGTTGATGTGCATCACTGCCCCACAGACCTTAAATTAAAAAGAGGACCGGGAAGACCTAGTCTGGAAGAGATTCTGCCGTTCCTGTCATAGCAAAGATTTTCTGTACCAGGAGAAATCAGCAAAGAGAGATTCTCTTGCTTCTGCTGTTGCAGGTGCACTTATATTTTGGACATTATTGGCTTTGCATTTGCAGATGTGACTAAAGGAAAAGTAGACTTGAAATACTGATATAACTGCATGGCTGGTATCAGATGTTATTACGCATTTAGAAAAAAAGCATGCAGTTTTCCCCCAAATTCACAGTAAACGGGGAAACAATCAGCTCTTACTGTATATTCACATTGAGAGAAGAGGAGCACTAAATAGGTGATTACCAGCAGCGTTTCAGGGAGGCCCTTTCGCAACACACTCTCCAGCAGCTGCAGCTTGGAAGAGCAGGTCAGGATCAGCATGGCTGGCCAGGTAGGTCCCGGAAAAATGTCCTTTGGTGAGCAAATCTGAAGGGAGCAAAGAGGCAGAATTGCATCAATTGTTTATGAACCAACTTGCCTGCCTGCTGGAGACCAAGCAAACTTGCTCAAAGGGTGATGCAGACTGTGGACTTTCAGGGGGGAAAAGAACAGACCCCGAGTCACAGAATTAGACAGTATGTGAGCTGGAACGCACCCTGCCCAACCTTCAGTCAGAGTATGTGATATCCTTGAAGATATTTATAGCTTAGCTCCTTTCCTTTAATCATTCTTCATAGGAAATGGTTTCCAGACCCCTCCCCAGCCTAGGAGTTCTCCCTTGATCCTGGTTCTCCTCCTTCTTTTAAAAAGCAATGCCGTGAATCTGTCACGGAACCTCAAGGGCACCTTAGTCAGTGTAGGATATAACAGGACTCTTTTCTCCTATATGCTGGATACATTGGTTCCCTTTTAGGCAGCCCAGTCCTCTATTGGCTTTCTGGGTGCTGCATCCCAATGTTTGCTCTTATCTATCCCGTTACCTGCTTGGTCTCCTAGATCTTTTTCATGATCTCTGCTGTCATGCCAATCTTCCCCAATCCCCTGCCCATGTGTTTCATTTTTCCCACTAGAGATAGGACCTTACATTTGTCACAGATGAATAACCATCTTGTTAGATTTGGCAAGGTTAGATTTAGAGAGAGAGAGAGAATGAGAGGGGGGGGGGAGAGAGAGAGGATATTAAAAAAATATCAACCAATACAAGTTTATATAAAATAAGAAAAAAAGAAAAAGAAATTACAGAGAAAGCTAAAAGTGCAAGAAAGGGAAAAATAAAAGAAGGAAAGGAAAGGAAAGGAAAGGAGGAAGGAAGGAAAGGAGGAAGGAAAGAAGGAAGGAAGGAAGGAAGGAAGGAAGGAAGGAAGGAAGGAAGGAAGAGAAAGAAAGAAAAGAAAAGAAATTAAAGAGAAAGCTAAAAGTGCAAGAAAGGGAAAAATAAAAGAAGGAAAGGAAAGGAGGAAGGAAGGAAGGAAGAAGGAAGGAAAGAAAGAAAGAAAGAAAGAAAGAAAGAAAGAAAGAAAGAAAGAAAGAAAGAAAGAAAAGAAATTAAAGAGAAAGCTAAAAGTGCAAGAAAGGGAAAAATAAAAGAAGGAAAGGAAAGAAAATAAATGGAAAGGAAAGGAAAGGAGGAAGGAAGGAAGAAAGAAAGAAAGAAGGAAGGAAGGAAGGAAGGAAAGAAAGAAAAAACCAACGAAAGAAAGAAAGAAAGAAAGAAAGAAAGAAAGCTTCCAATTAATGCTGTTTCTCTAGTTAATGCAGTTAATTTGGCCATCTCAGCAAATTCCATCAGCTTCACCATCCATTCCTCCATTGTGGGTAAAGTTAAAACCTTTCACCTTTGTGCATATAATAGTCTTGCTGCAGCTGTATATATAAAAAAAGGTTCTATCATTTTTTTTCTAGCTGCTTATCCATCAATTTCAAAAGAAAAGTCTTTGATTTAAATTGCAGATGAGTTTTTAAAATCTTCTGTGTGTAATTGAGTCTAAAATTTTCTGGGTTTTTTACATGACCACCAAACACGATAAAATATCTCGTTTATATTTCCAACCTACGTTTGAACAACCTTTATACAAATTAGCCAATTTTTCTGGTGACCTGTACCAACAAAGTATAAAATTATACATCA